AACAAAATAGAAAAATTTCAAATGTTGTGGAAAATGGTAGGAAAACAAATTTCCATTTCAATATCAGAAACGAAGTTTGGCCGATTGAACAGTTGACTCGCGTAACCTTGAGGCTGCCTACATACCTCATGACCTTGGTCCTTGGCCATATCGGAATTTCATTATTAAATTTAATCAATCTTTAAGGTGATTTCTATGATTTTTTACTATTGTATGATAAATGTATTGCTATTTGGAAAAATGTTTCATACTACCTCACAAGCACACTCATTTGCAACAAAAGTGTTATAAAACATTCATTATTACGTTATCACTCAAGGAAAATAAGAGAAAATTACCAATTAACTACTACTGCAAAATTTAGTTGCACATTTATTTTTAATATCACGGTTAAATTGATCTATGAGCACGTATACATATACCATCTTCGGAAGGAAATTAAGGTTGAGATTTTGTGAAGATGAAACTGATAAAAATAAATTGGAAAATTTCAAAATTAGTCCCACAGATATAAGGGGTTGACAATTTTAGTCCCGACGGAATTAACAAAATATGAATAGTCCCACAGCTTTTAAAAAATGACCAAAAGTAGGACTTTTTCGCCGGATTTACTATTTCCGGCCCGAAACATCACGTGGCTTATTTTTTACACGCTGGCGCACACGTGGCTTAGTTTTGAATTTTTTCCTAGATAGGGGAAAATTCAAAACTAGTCCCACAAGCATAGAGGAGTGACATTTTTTGTCCCGATGGAATACAGAAAATTCAAAACTAGTCCCACAACTTGTAAAAAAATATGAACACGTCGGATGCCACGTGGCGTTCCGGGCCGGAAATAGTAAATTCGGCGAAAAAAGTCCTACTTTTGATCATTTTTTAAAAGTTGTGGGACTATTCATATTTTCTGCATTCCGTCGGGATCAAAATTGTCACCCCCTATACATGTGGACTAGTTTTGAAATTTTCGCAAAATAAATCAAGGGACGCTATTAAGTATGTTATCATAAGAACCTAACTTCAGAAAAGAGGAAATATATCATTATGGTGCAATGGATAATTGCATGAGTACTAAGGTTTTACAACGTGACAAAATACACATTCCAGTGTGCGTAGTACTATGGACAGCGACAAAAATATGTACTATAATCATTAGCTAATTATGCCAATCATTGGGTTCCATGTGGATTTTTGCTACTTACAGAATTAATAAAAATTAACGAGACACCATTCAGATAAAATGACTTCAAATAAAACATAAAATCATATATTTACAGCAAAGAAACATGACAACTCTTGCATTTTATGTAAGTTTGACCATTCAGGGGGTGATTGTTTATGAATTCATCTAGCAATTAATTGGTTTTTTTTTTAACCATAGTTAATTTTGAAAAATGTTGGTATAGTTAGTTGTTAGTGGATATATTAAAGTAATACTTGAAATGAAATAATTAAAGTTGATATGATGTAAAAGTAAGAGAAAAATGATTGGAAGTAGTAGTTAGTTAAAATTATGTGAGTGGATAAATAGTGAATTAAAGTTGATGTTATGTGTAATAATGATTAGTTGAATGATTGGTTGATGTTATTTAATTATATTGATAATATTGAAAATAGTGGAGTTGAGTTAAAGTTGAGTTAAATTTGAGTTTTGATTGATTTTTTTTGGAGTGAATTGATAAACAATCACCTCCTCATAAATTTAAAAAACTTGTTCTGCGTTTGTAATTTGTTAAACCAATCAACATCATATGTAAATCTAACATCATAATTTATATTGAATAATAAAAATGTGAAGATCTATTGTACTGAAACTCAACAGATATGCAATAGGAGTGATCCAATATATAAATTTGGACACTAATTAACTAAATTAGAATTCAATGTTTGAAAATTAGCCTTCATTCAAATCAATTTAAAACATAGTCTTCCAATGTTAATAATAAAAAGAAAGCAAGTCTTATATTAAATGCATTCACTCAGATTTCTCGCACAATTGCATCCTCAGTCAAATACCATTCCACTTCAGTACACTCACTCTTTAACTAAAACGACAGAATCTAATCTAATCATCACTTAATTAAACTCACAAACAACAATGATAATAAATGACGATTTAATTCATTCCCCAAAGATAAATGCAGAATCATTCATTCTCGATCGACTAAACATGTACCTTGATGATAACATATATATACCCAATACCAAATCTCAAACCCTAGACACATTACCACTAAAACCCCATTAATTACCACCATTAAACCAAACCCTAATTAATTAATTCAAATCTCCTTCCCACGAAAATTACAGCCAGAAATTAAAATCCCCACTAACCATAATCAAACCAAAACCCAGATCCAGACTAAGATCAAATCAACAAGTACAGATTAATTAATTAATTTCCATTCTTTTTTTTTTCGAAAATGGGATGAGTAATTAAAAGAAAGTGTCAAATGTCGAAAGGACCTTGAGGGTCAAGCTGCCTGCAAAGCGCGAGATAAGCAAGGTAGAGAACACGGTCTTTTGCTCCCGTGCGATGATTCTTCGTGTGCTTGCAAAAGTACTTTAGCTGGTCGAGCGTGCAGCAGCCCAGCATCTGCCCAAGCAGCAAGAACAGCCAGTTGATGGACCTTTTCTTCTCAGCCATCACGGGCCGGGCGCTGTTATCCTGCTCGCAGAACCTGCAGCGAAGGAGGGCCGGGCTGCACCAGCCCGCGGGGGCCCGCTGGTGCATGCTGCTCTTGTGGGCCGCGATGTAGGAACCCACTTCCGAGAATTTCTGACGCAGGTCGAACTCCACGGAGTAGCGACGCTCGCAGCGCTTGCACTCCACGTCGCCGGAGACGGCGGAGATCTGCCGGGAGATGAGGTAGTCGAGGCTGTGGACGGTGGCGCGGCGGTCGGTGGCCCAGGGGTAGGGGGGAGGGATGGTCGGGGATTTTCCGGCGGAGGGAGTTCGGGAGGGGTTCCGGCGCTGCCGGCGGGGGCGGGCGACGGAGGAGGAGGGGGAGGGGATGGAGATGGCGGCGGATGGCGGCGGAGGGAGAGGGTGGTGGAAGGCGGAGAGGGCGGGGTTGATGAGGAGGGGCGGCGGCGGCGCCGCCGGGGTGCGGTGGAAGGTGGAGAGGCTGAGGGTGAGGAGATCTGCGTGATTGTCGTCGGAGGAGAGATCCTGGCCGTTGATTGTGGTGGTGTTGTCCATTGGAACTGTGGAGGGGAAATGGAAAAGAAGACGACAGAGGGAGTTGTAGTATTAGTACGACTATCACTGTGTAGAGAGAGAAAGAGACACAGAGAGAGAGAGAGAGAGAGTTTGTTAGAGATAGAGACTATAAAACAGAAAAATGCGTGTATTAATTTATCGCCTCCGAATATCCGGCCATTCAAATTCTCCCAATTTTTTTTTTATTTATTATATATATTTCTGGTTTTTTGTTATTCGCTTTTATTTACAACAGACTGGCGTTGTGTGTCCTTGCGATGTGCGTGCAAGAGATAACGTTTTTCAGTGATCCAAAGAGAAAATTATTTTAAAAATTCATAAAAAAATCAGTGGGTTTAATTAGGTACAACCGTACCGTACAATGGTGCATGTCCAAGAATTCTTTTACTTGCTTTGTAATAATAATAGTTGGTTATGATTAATTATCTTGATTCGTCTTAAGGAAACAATGTTACGTTTATCAATATCTAGTGATTTAACCGAACAAATATTCTCTAGTATTCAAGAAATTGGGTCCATAATTTTATTTTTCTATTAATATCTATTGTGAAATTAATTTTAATTTCTATCAAGTTTAGATTTGTAGGTTTGTGAATAAAATTTCTCAAGTTGTCCATATTAATACTATTTACTAAAATATAGATTTTTACCAACAAATTTTCTCAAGATTTTCACACTTCATAAGAATCCCAACAGATTCGGGGTAGAAAAATATTTTTTCTTTGTGTTATTTGTTAAAAAAAAAATGACTCAGAGTTAATCATGCCCTGTGCTTGGAAAAATCCCTGCATAATCCGCGAAACGACACAAATTTCTGGTCAATGGATTTCATTAATATTATTAAATGTAATACTATTAAAAAATGGGATTTTTGAATAAAAACTAATATATAAAATTCNTTTATTTTTATCCGATCCAGCACACGTAGTTTTTTTTACACTTCATCTGTTGAGACATATTTGATTAGATATACTTTTACTCCTTATAAATTGTATAAATTTGTCATTAAATTCAAATTTTTTTCACATAAATTACTATGCATCATGTATCGATCATCAAACACAGTTGGAACCATGAAACTTACGAAAGATTAAGTTGGCATCTTAAAAACAAATTTCAAAGTCGTGTAGAAAAAATAAGATAAAAGGCTTTGTGAAGTCTTAAGCATGATCATTTTTAATTATCATTATTATAACAAGAACAAAAATTGTATCGGTCATTTATTATAGATTTTAGAAATATTATTGAAATAGAAGAGTGTGGAAAGAAAAAAGACAAGATGTATTAATGTGGAATGAATTAATAGAAGAGATTTATTCACACCAAGTTTAACTATAAGAACTATTTGGAATCAGGCGAAACCAGAAAATTAGTTGAGTGGGGACAAAAGATATGATATCATGGGTTTAGAATCGAACCCTAATGGATTCAGAATCGATACCGAACCGATAACATTTCGGTAACCAATTTTCGGTTACCGTTACATATAAGTCAGTTCGGTTAGGTTTATTTTCTCATCGGTTCGGTTCGATTCGGTTCGATTTTCGATTTTCAATCAAAAAATACTTGCCCTAGTATGGGCAATAAAAGAGAGTTGAAGCCTTTTATATGGGTCAATTAAAATTGTATAATGATAATAATTAATCTACAAGTTGAATTGTTGAAGTGTTGAATTGTTAATTGCCCTAATATGGGCAATAAAAGAGAGTTGAAGTGTTGAATTGTTAATTGACAATTGTGGGCAAGTTGGCCTGGTGAGTAATGTTTAAAAACATTTTATTGTTTCGACTAAAAAAAAAAAGAAAAAGAGTAATGTTTAAAAAGAAAAAATCTGAGGGTGCAAAAATAAATTTAAAGGGGGGACAAATTAAAAATTTTAATATTAATATTAAAAAAAAATTGAGGGGTGGCAATTGCCCCTAATCATATATGTAAATTGGCTCATGTTTGGAATAGCAACTCTAATACATATAATATAGCAAAATATCTGGAATTACAAACTTATTCTAAAATAGAATATGAATTAATAATTCTAATAAAACTTTACATGTCTTAAATATTTTTCCATTTATAGACACATACGTTCCGAAATCTATATAATTCCTAGCGGTAATACTACTTGTACGGGATTGTTAGCCGGTCATGTCTACCGTAACTATATTTTAGTAATAATGCACTAAATTTAAATAGTTTACCATATTTTTTCTAACCATCAATTATAAATAATTCTCATTGCACAGACGCATGTACCATTGTACAAAATACTAATTGACAGTGACAGTTAGTGCTCAATTTAGTAGTACTATGGCATGCAACAATAAGAAATTTTACTATTTTACCCAAATATTGAAAAATGAGAAAAGAAAACTGTAGGGGATTTATATTTTATCCATGACTATTGTATTATAGTAATTGAGGAAATTGAATGCCATAATAGTGGGCAAAGTCTTCAATTAGTACATGTAAATTTCAGTTGAGACATTGTTGTTATTGTGGCAAAATTAAGAAAAATAGTGCGACAGCATAATTATAAGAGACACGGGAAGCCGTATTTTCATGTTGTCAGGAAATATGCACGTACAAATTTCTGCTAATTAAGTAAGTACAAATTTCTGCTAATTAAGTAAGTAATGACTAATTAATCCAATATTTGATTCAACGAATTTGATAGGTCTTTTATCAGTTCTATGACCATTGTCATTTATTATTTTGATTTACGTGGATAAGGTGCAATGGAAAACGAATTTATTACGAAGTAATATAGATACCGGCGCCGGAAAAATCGTAGAATTGATATGAACATTATATATCTATATATATTTTGTATAATTGTTAGCAAAAAATTAATAAAATTATTTAGTATATTTCATTTTTATAACAATTCAACATTATTATATTATTATTACTTTTTTATAAAAGTTGTAACCAAGGTTCTGAAAGCTGGACCGATCATCGAATCGGTCAAGCTACTGGTTCAGTGGTTCACTGGTCCGATCAGTGGTTGAACCGGTTGGACCGTTATTTAATTTATTGATATATATGTATATTTGTATATATATTTTCATAAATATAGTTAACTTAATTTTTAAGATGTTTAATTTATTGATATTTTAAGTATTTAATACTTTATAAATATTAAATATAGTTGACTTATTTTTTAAAAGATTGGTCCAACCATATATAGATTAAGCAATAAAATGATATTACAAAAATATGGAAAAAAAACCCTCACACCCCCAGATTGGCAAATAAAATAATAGGACATAATTATGGGAAAAGAAATTCCTCCCACGCGGGACGCAGCTTTACCTTTACAATTGGAATTCTTGTCCCACATTCGTAATCATAAAAAGTTAGTTGTTTTATAAATGTGTTAGAATTTATTACTATACATGACAAAAAAATTGACCGGTTTAACCAACCAGGTTATAGCCGATTTTGACTGGTTGAACCGGTCATTGATCGGTTTTGCTGACAGCCGAATTGTTCAATAGAACTGGACCAGTCAACTGCTCTGTTCCCGGTTCAACCGGTCGGACCGACTGGTCCATTCTGTTTTTCAAAACCATGGTTGCAACAGACATTTTGTTATAGCTGTATGCTTTTTATTAACAACTCCATTACATTGTTAATTACGCGAATCTGACAGACCGTGATATTATTTGGTCAAACGGTAGGCAAGGCTTAGATTTTGTGGAGGAGAGGCTTGATAGAATCATGATATCCCCTGAGTAGCTCCTTAAATTTCCAAACACTTCTGCTCTCCATGTTCCTACGATATCATCTGATCACAGCCTTCTGCTCCTGAAAAGTGATTGTTTGGAAAAGAAAGATAGGAAAGGTTTTGTTGTGGTAGTAGGTGGTCAAAAAGGGAAGTTTTTAAGAGTGTGTTGCTAGAGCCTAGAGTCTAGATGTGAATGGCAGAGGTTTGTTCAGTTTTAAGAAAAAAAAACTAAAATATGTTAAACCGGGTTTGCTGGGTTGGGTGGTCACAAATTCAACTTACTCAGCAAAGATCATTCAGACTTGTAATGCTAAACTTAAAATGCTCGGCCAGCAGGGTGGCAATAGAAATTTGGAGGAATGGCTCCTATAAAAGCAGAAAATTCATCAGACTTACCAAGATGAGGAGTTGTACTGGAAAAACTAAATCTAGACTTAGATGGCTCAAAGAAGGAGACTATAACAACAAATTTATTCAAGCCTGTGTTAGACAAAGAAGATGTGGTAATTCTCTTGAAAACATGGTGAAGAGAAATGGGGAAAAGTGCAAAGATAGTGAGGAGACTGTGCAGGAAATCTCTGACTTTTTTTCAGCACCTCTTTCACTCTAAAAATCCAATCTTTGAAGAGGAATTCCTGCAAGGTATACTTGCCTCAATCACTCAAGAGATGAATATCAACCTCACTAGAAAGGTGGATGACCAAGAAATCAAAGTTGCCCTGTGGGAAATGGAGCCCCAGGTACTGATGGCTTCTCTCTTGCTTTTTTTCAATCCTCGTGGCACTTAATCAAAGTTGATCTTTCCAATGCTATTAAAAATTTATTTTCCATTGTTTGCATCCCAAAAGCCACCAACCATACTGTCATCACTCTCATCCCTAAAACTAAACACCCTCAGAAAATCTCTGATTTCAGACCCATAAGTCTGTGCACTGTCACTTACAGACTAAAAGCTAATTTTTTTCCAATAGGTTAAAGTGTGTTCTCAGTGTCTGCATATCTCATTCTCAAGCTGTTTTTGTGCATGATAGATAGATCCTTGATAATGTAGTCATAGAAAATGAATACATCCATCAAGGATCTATCTATTACTTTTTATTTATTCCACTTTTGATGTTTTGCTAGTTGAATGAAGCAAAGTTTGTCTCTTTTTATTTTCATTGCTTGCTTAAGTGTGTTACGAGTTAGTTTCGTGCTTATCTTTTTATAAAAGTTGCAATTTTTCTTAAAGCGTGGTCATTTAGTTAAGAAGTCT